TTTGTTCGCCACCACAGCAACCTAACTAAATGTATTATATTTTTTGTATTTTTATAAGTGATGATAAATATACACAAATATTTATTGTTTTTATCAAAAATCACAAATATACAATAAATATAATGTACCTAACTTAGGTTGCTGTGGCCTGTGGTGGCGAACAAACGTTTCGTGAAAATATTCACCCCCCTGTTATGTAACCCACGAGGTGTTTTCGCGAACTTGCGCGTGACTTTTAAATTATTTCTTTTGAATTCTAACAGGACAATTGTACTGGGAGGTTTTTCCTCCCAAGTACAAATAATATTTCCAATTTTTGGATTGGGACTATTCTACAATGAAGTACTCTTGGATAATGTAATCTAAATACATATGAAAACGAAGAAGTGGCATTTATCGGGCAGAGAAGCGGCGAGCCATTAAAATGGCGGCAATTTGACGAGATATCGAAGGACACATTATCGAAGATAAAATACACTGCACTGTTTCAAAAGTGGATGAAACCTTCTTTGAAATCATCTTCAGCCATTTATGATTATGTAAAAGTACAACAACTGGATGATATTTGCGTGATTCGGCGATAAAAAGGAAACAAGACGGCAAAATATGGCTGAAATCGCGTTTTTGTGGGGGGTAAGTTAAATAAAATGTATTGAATTTAAAGAAAACAATGACAATCCTTATGAAATCAACAATATTTATATTAAATTAAGCATAGCTTTTAACCCCATGATAATTTTTTTTAGGAAATAAGAATATTTAATTTCTGCCTGGCATATTAGTTATTTTATGCATAATCAGCAATTTACCTGGGGTGGTGCATGGTCATTTTCTTGTAAAATATTATACTTGGACAATTTTTTCTTCCAATGACAACCCCTAAAAGCAACCCTTCTAAACACTATAAGCACTTCAGAAAGACTATCGCTTTTGTTTTCTGAAGTTAGAGCTATGTCGACACTGCCGTTTCAGGGCGGGGTCATTTTCAGGACTTTCGTCCCGGATTCAGCTTTTGGCACATATGCCATGTTGACCGCCATGGTCATTTTACCCTAAAACAGTTGAGATTACCTGTGCTAAATGAAATGCATACAAACTCATATACAGGTCCTAGACTAATTGACAAGTAAATCATCATCCAAGAGTACAAGACAGTGTAAATAAAATGTCTCAAATCTTACTTCTACTTTCTGCATTTCTGTCCACAGATCAAAAACTTCAATTCCTAGCTCTTGTCCAGTTTCTAAACATGCTGTTGCGTATGGTTTGATAAGCTTGTTCCTCATCCCCATAATGTAACCTAGAAACAAATGGAAAGGATTTCAAGTTTTTTTCTCATGGGCTATGCACAGAGAAGCAGAACATCCTTCTTCAACACATGCATGAAAATGAATTCTTTATGGTGAAAAAATTCTTCGTTGAAAACAGTGTAGTAGTGACGTAATTATCGAAGGGTGTATTAAAGCTTCCGTTACCTTTAAGCTTGCAATATTCTGTCCACTTGTCTTCGACCATTGCAGGAGGGGTTATCAGAACTTGGCGATCAAATGAAACACCAACATCTTTGAATTGTCTACAAATATTCTTCAGATTTTCTCTATACTTTACGACAGGGACATTACGTGAGTCTGCAACACAGGCATCCTCAGAGTCGTTACTTCCAAGTAGTATAGTAGCTGCTACAACACTTCCTTTAGGGTGATTGTCATTTTGTAGCAGTCTGGGTAAAATCAGTTTATTTGAACGTGTTGTATAGCCACTGAAACCACGGTTTAACACATCGCATTTCCTGAAAAATGGAAAAAACACGGATAAAAAAAAATTGTCTATTCTCAAGTGAAACTTTCCTAATTTTGTTTATCCTTACAGCCATTTTCGTCCAAGCACAAACCGCAAACATTTTCGCGCGTTTGTTTACGTTTGAAACGTGGCGTTTACCGTTGGAAACGGAATGTTTCACTGCTCATGCGACGTGTTATAGTGAAAAGCCTAATTCAGTTATTTTTCATGTTTTGATGTGCTTTCGTGTACTTTTCAGTATTTCCAAGCTCACGATATTGTAAGAGCGACCAAACTTGTTTATATTCATACTTTTTGTGACTAAAACGTATTATCATGGGCTTGGAAATATTTAAACGTGCACGGAGGCACATCAAAACATGACAGTTGCGCCAAAAATAGCTTAAGGCTTTTCAATGTGACACGTCACATGAGCGGTGAAACATTTCAGTTTCCAACGGTAAACGCCCCGTTTCAAACGTAAACAAACGCGCGAAAATGTTTGCGGTTTGTGCTTGGACGAAAATGGCTGTAGTTGCAGTGAATGAGGCAGGGTTTCCAGGGAACAAAGCATGCTGCATTTTGGGAACGCAGTCACCCAGGGTGCATTCCATGCAATCGCCACGCCTAAGGTTTCAAAATCTATTATTTTTTTACGCCAAGAAATTTGAAGTTTTATGCCAGCCGGTCACAAAAAGCGAAACGAAAATAAAAGCTTGCCAATTATCCAATATGGCTGACACACATATTTAGTCGACAATCGAAAAAAAGTGCATTATGCGCATACTAGATTTTTTTTTTCGATAACCATTTTAAGCATTGACAAGAATGTCTACATTTCAGGCATATATACACTTTAATAGCCATATACACTTTAATAGGCATATATTTTCAAATAAATACAGAAATACACCGGGCGATTTACGCCAACACACCTACATCTTAGTGATCGGTACGCTATTACGCCAAGACTAGTACATCTCCACGCCAGAGATCTCAGAACTTTTGTG